ATAAACCAATATTTATAAACCAATCTTATATAATACTTCTGTTTTTTTATAATTGCTTACAACTCCGAAAACAGCATCATTATTTTTGTATTCTTTAAGTTCATCAACTAGGCGTTTATGCTTCAAGAGTAAATTATGATTCAGTCCTTTAGCGTTATTAAATACATTATCCCACTGGAAGTTATGCTTTGAGAAATTATTTTTCTGAGTCTCAGAGCTAATCGAAGTGCTAATGATTTTATAATTTTTAATTTCATTTTTCAAGCACTTAATGTCTTCGACCAATAAATATTTTTTTGATTGTTTCCTTTTAAAGCTATAAATAAATGAATATAATTTATTAGATGTATTAGAAACTTGCTATTTCCGTTCAATGCCAGTTTATAGAAATAAAATCATATTCTTACTTTGGTTGGAAACCAAGTACTGATTAGCATTTTCGAAAGACATTATCACAAAAAATCTCAGTCTAATAAATTCCTAGATAAACAACAATAAATAATGAGTTTTTATAAACTAAAATAGCACCGAATTCAGCTGTATGTTATTTATGTAATAATCTACACTAGCTAAATTCTATTCACATTTTTTTAAAAAGATTATTACCTAGATATTCAAGAAAAGGATCTTTCTTGTAAGAAAAAAGAAAAGAGTGAACGAGCGAGCTAATTTATCAGATTTCAGTTTGATGAAGTCTGTATAAACAAGATAAATATATATCAGGTATATCGGACATCAGACCTATCATCATCCTATTATTAGATATACCATAAATATAAAATAATAAACAACATAATTTAATACCCTTAGCATTAAATCTTTAAAAAACAAGTTTAAGAAATATATAAAATCTGCAATATGCTATATATACAGTAACATATATACTAGTTTATTATGTATAATATAGTGGAAATAAAAACTTGCTTTCTCGATAGTAATACAAGATATATATAGAGCTAATAATTCTTACAGTATTGAGCATATATGCTATTGATATATATTGAATAAAATTAAAATTACTGAAACTCATCAGGGCGGTTTTTGACGTTTGATAAGATTTTAAAATTTACAACGATTCGGTATCCACTATGTCTAATTTCAAAAAAGATCAAAGTTTCAGGTTCAAGTTTGAAGCTTCGGAAAGAGAAGTTGTTTCTGTTTTAATCGATAGCAATGAAGTTCAAAAAATAGAAAGCAAAATTCTTGATGATATTATTATAGAATCTAAAAAATGGCTTTACCTTGAAAAAACCGAAACTATTGGATATTATCCGAAGCTTTCTGAACTATTAAAAGAAATCAAAGAAGAAGATAATGAAACTAAACTTCACAGGATAAAGAAGTTCCATATATTAGTTCAAGAAAGAGAACTTAAAAGAATTAGTCTTGCCACAGTTATAAGCAAAATTATCTTAATTCATTGCAAAAGCTTAATTCTGAGATCTAAATAATAGGTTTAAACATTGTGTTTTATTATTATTTGATAAAAATTTATCCCGAATAAACTCAATAAACCAATGTTTTGAAGGAAAATTCGCCTGGACAAAAATAGTCTAATCTGTAGTAATAGAAAGTGCTGGTTTTAAAAATTAATATTGAGAAACCTTCGCTAGAAGTTAAAATTTCTAGATGATCGCCAAATTTTAATCACATGATTATTAAGACTTATCCTGTGCTGTGATTGGCTTGTTTAATTTCAGGGACTTCTAACCGGAAGGAGGGATGACGTTAACCAACTAATTAACTTTAAATAGCCTAAGTGTTTAAAAGAGATTATTTAAACATTTATTGTGAGTAGTGGTGTGTCTTTAGATAGATTTTTAGTGTTTTGATTACAAAGTTTCTGTATAGATGCTTGATGAAACCATTTTTGCTATTAATGAATCTATAAGGTTTTGTCAGGTCATGTGAATTTCGTCAAGCATCATTATGTTTCTGTAAAAGGAAGCCTTGTGATTTGTTTTCTCTATCTTGTTGATATAGTATTGTTTTTTAAACTCTGAGTTTTGAGTTAGTTGCATGATCATAGAATCATTTTTATTAAGAGAGATACCCAAATTCTGCCTGCTTAGCAAATCTGAAAAAAAAGAATATGAAAATTGAACTTATCATATGACAGGTTGTACACGTGATCTGTAAACATATCAATATATTTAAGTTTGATTAATACATGTTTTGATTTTATAGAAATCAAATATCCAACCGTTAACAACTTTTAAAGTTTACAAATGAATTGCATTATCAATTTTCTCATTCAAGTTGCTGTAACTATAGTGGTTTTGTTGATTGTATCAGCAATAATTATTAGTCAAGACAAGCCAGGTACAGATAAATTAAACTTGCTACTAAAGTTTTTGTTTTAAAGATGATGACGACTTAACTTTTTTACTGAATATTTTAAATCATAGTGATAATCATTACTAACACAAGTATTGAATTATTGAATATTCAAGAAGGCAAAATGAAACAATTTCAACTCAAGAAGTAATCAAAGCTGCTAAGGTCGTGAAATTTTTGCTTATGGCATTAATTTACTACGCAAAAGTACTCTATTATTATTGTAAAGAGCAATTTGTTATGAACATATTCTAGTTTTGAGCAATTCTTTTACCAAATAATTTTTGATTCAAAATTGATTGTAAATTGCAATAGTTATTAATAATCGAAATTAATAAAGAGCAAATTTTTATAAACTCATTAACCTTGAAGATTTATTTCTAATTGTTAAAATGTGCATCAAT